TTTTGTCCAAACAAGTCATCGCGTGTTGCCGCAGAGGTAGTTTCAATGAAGCACGTGCCTTTCTCGAACAGTACAACGCCATTTTACCGCAAGCAGAAGATCGTTTGATTTTCGAGGTGATGGAATTGTACTTACAAGCAGCTTTAAAACGTGCAAGTGGAGATTTTAAAGCACTCGGAGAACTATTGACTGAAGCTTTGTCCAAGGCAGAACTGATTGAACCAGGCCTGGTAACAGCAATACTATACGTTTTTGCTGGAACTGTAAGTGACCTGGTAAATTCAGGAGACCCAACAAAGAAATTTTCACCGGATGTTCATTCAATAAGAGCTCTGGAACATTTACGGCATGTCCCAGATCAATCCAAAGTCCTTGAAGATATGGAGCAGAAGATACATGTAACTTTGGCCACTTTTTACCTTGGCTGTAATTTAAGTGGACAGCTTATTAAGGGTAATGTAGACATTTCAAGTTTAAAAAAGCGAAGATTAGCATATCAGCTGTACATCAATCCACTTACGAAGGACACCCACTGAGTTGGTATCGTGAAGTTCAGCTCAATTTGGTACTGTCCCTCTATAATTATCGACATTCACAAGTCAGTCCTGGCGAAAGAGTTCGCTTTTTGCGCAATGCCTTTAAATACGCCAAGAAAGCTGAATGTCTTGCAAAAGATCATCACTATGGAAATGCTTGAGTGGAGTAAGGCTACCGAAGCTTTGTGCACGGAAGAACACTAGTGCGCGCGAAATTTGCCAAATTGCCGACCGATTCAACCAAAATAGACTGTACGAGTTAAAACTCTGAGGCTGGATTTGCAATTCAGCATATTTCATCTGTATGTACTGTACGAGTACTGTTCATATGAGACAGTCTGTCCCATCAAATAGTAATAGTAATAGTAATAGATCAATAGTAAAAACTTTATAAAAACTACGAGGGAAACGTACATTATTAACCATATTAGAGAGGTTCAAATTTGACTTCCACTACCGCTAGTATTAACCAATCAGATGCGTTTCATATATCTGATTAACCAATCAGTTGCAGACTAAGCCAGTGAGAGGTAATGGTAGCAGAAGGCAAATCTCGACCTCTATATTATCACGAGCGCGCCGCTTGTATAGTGAAATCAGCGCGCTTATATATAAGAACAGTCAGACACTGTGTTTACCGCCAAATGGAACGCTTATGTCAATTGTAAACATCGTTCCGCAATATTTAGTTTAATGTCAAGTAAAATAAACCAGAACAAAGTAGAAATTCAATTTGTTGGTGTATTGTCTATTGAATGACTTGTTTTTACCTAAATGTGTTCAACGTCAGGATCCTTGGAAACGATCGGTTACTTGGAAATAAATTCAATTCAATTCAATCACTATAGACTAAGTCCTTGTGAGTCTTGACAATCAAGTACATTTCACGACTACGGATACTGAGTATTTTTTATTTAAATGGATTCCTATCCAATCCGTAGTAGACTTTTTATCCCGTCTTCCTGTTTTCGTAAAGCCATTTTATTATCATTTTATATGTACGTCCATGATAGCTTGCAATAGTGCCCCACCCCCTGCCTAAGGACAACGTTGCACAGACTCGCTTCAGATAATTTTTCTCTAGCTGGAACGGAGCGAATGATATTTTCGTTTCCAACTTGATAAATGCACCAAATTTTTCAACATGGACCATGCTTTTTCGACATAAACCTCCTTTTACGAGAAATCGACACATGTTTATCAGTTTATGAGAAATGTCTGTCCTTGGGGGCTGCATGATTTAAACACGATTTTGTCAGGTTTTTGGTCCGCTTAATCGAAGTGGGCTCTGGTGCAAAAAAGCTCATGTAATTTTCCCGATCCCCAACGAAGGGCTTTCGCTCGAAACGTCTACTTTCTGCGTATATTTTTCAGGTAGTAGTTACATCCCTACCAACGAAAGCTCCTTAAAATAGATCGGTTGCCAGTGGCAATGATTGGTAATATATTCGATGCGCTGTTGGTGTAATGTATAGTTGTATACGTATAATAGCGCAATGTACGAGGCTGTTGTTTGGTCCCTTCTTCATCCAAATGGTAAATCAACTCTATTCCAACTGTAGATTTTATATATTTTTATGTATTAACTAAATTAAATTCGAATTTGGTTTAATTTCCGATATTGCGAAAAGTTCGTATAGGGAATTCCCCAAGTTATTTAATTATTACAGTAAAGCACGTCTTTAGTCACGCTTCCGCATAATTACCGTAATACGTATTTACTATCTCATAGCGAAAGTCATTCTCGTCTCTTGCATATTTCATCGAAATAGCTGCGTACAAGGAATCAACACATATCATATCTATGCTTTGAAATATCGGTAATGCCATTGTGTCTGTATCTGACAAGTGATTAACCTCAGATTGACAAAAGGTACGCAAATATTCATAGATTGATTCGTCGCCGTAGACTCGTGATATATCAGTGAGAGCAGGTTCATTCATGCGTTTATTAGTAAATACGTCTCCTGAAATTGAGTCTTGTCTCAGTCTCTTAATGCTTGTAATGAAGTTATGTGCCTTTAAGATACATTCAATAGATGTAACATAGACTATAGCAGGATTAACTGATTCGTTTCAGCTGCTGCTTTGTTTTTATAGTAAAACCAAGGCATATGCCTGGCACTACTATATTTACACATAGATAGACATAATATCATGTGAGATCGAGAACTGAGATTTGTACAACATACTCGACAAAGTAGCTTACTTTAAGTGGTATAGAAAATAGAAATAGTATTACTGTATGTAGACCTAAGTAGTTGCTTTTGTCGTCATGTGCTGTGCATGCGCTTGTTATGGTTTAAAGTCCGTTTCACGGCCAATGTTTGTATGCATGTTAATTAAATTATTCATGTGCAAATTGTTTCACACCGTGACACGGTATTAAATAGGTTTGAAGACTCGATAGAAGTACAGTATTCCTCATTAATGTTTTTGTGTAGGCTTGCTGTACTTACTCGTTTAAGTGCTGCGGCTGTGAGGCCATTTTTAGATTTTTAGACATTAAAATGTTATACGGACGCGGCGCTTCGACTGGGATCATGGATGCGCTCTTTATAAAATATTTTATTCGTATAAAGCGATAACAAGGAATATTGGCAGACTTAGCAACAAAGTATAACATAGAAACACTGAAACGCAGAAGAACAAATTTCGAGGTTTGTTGGTTAAATCGATCAGTCCTTTATTTTTCTTGAGTTGGGTGGGACCTAGCTGTGATTGGCTGTTTCTAGCATGAGTATATCACGCCATATTTAACGTATCGTTTTGATTGGTTAATGCTAATGCATTAGTACTTGTAACTACAGGATGTATAAAAAAAATGTATTGTCGTAATTGACGGCCGTATAATTTCTCGAATTAATGAATGCGTGAAAACGCATGGTCTTCTGCACTTGGGAATTTAGGATAACTTCTATTTGTAAGAACATTTACACATAAAATGGGCCAGCTAATACTGCAGAGCAACGAATATTTAAATGGCGAATTTGAAAGGTGTACATTTTTTTGATACACGCTACACATCTAAAAGATAGGCCGGTTTATCTGAAGGTTGCGACTCACAGGAACGCGTTCCAGTTACTGATTCATTTCAATGCGCTGGCCTCAAAATGACATGACGTATATGATAATTAAGCCACACACATTTTTGGCAGTCAGATATGCTTGCCCAAAGGGGACAAAATTACGAACATGTACATATCATTTCCATTACGCAAATATCATTTTCATATGTCCAAATATCACTTTCAATCCAAATTCGTCGAAGTTGAGAAAAAATCGTCAAAGTCGAGTACAAATTCGTCGAAGTCGAGTTGAAATTCGTCGAAGTCGAGTTGAAATTCGTCGAAGTGGAAGTTGAAATTCGTCGAAGTGGAAGTTGAAATTCGTCGAAGTGGAAGTTGAAATTCGTCGAAGTCGACAAACAAATCGTCGAAGTCGAAT